ATCTTACAGTTCTATTATTATGTGACAGAGCTGAATACATATTTGTATAACAGACTCCTCCTACTTCTAGTTATAGACGGACTACTACAGAAGACGTGGTCGGATTCCTTTGGAACAGAGCTGACTACATATTTGTTTAAGAGAATCGTCCTGCTTCTAGCCATAACCGAACTGCTACTATGTATATATACATATATATAATTATATCTCATAAGAATAAACAACCTCATAGAGTTGTAATTTCTTACTTCTTGGTAGTAACTTTTTTATTTTTCCTAAAATAAAACCCAACATTCATAAAGGAATATGTAACGGACATTTCAGTGTTCTTAAATCCACTGCTCATGCGCCCATATGCGATGTAGTAAATTATTTTTATATCAACAAAAATTTAATATCACAATCCTTGAAGGATATTCAACCAACCCTCAATGTAATTAAACTCAACATTTGTAAAAATCAACGCGGCAGATGTGCGTTTCCTTCCACCACTCGCGCAGGACATTTTGCTTGCTTGATTGTGTGCGCAGTTCAAAAATAATTGCAGTGTATCCTGCATTAAATATTAAAAAAAAAAAAAATACTGTATACCAAAGTAATAAATGCATAAGAGTGATTTTATCAAAGTGGAAATGCATGTAAATCTTTGATAAAAGTGTCAAGGGTGATTATTTTCATATTTGCTCTACAATAAATCAGTTGGACGTTTAAATTATTAAACTACCAGATACGAGTATTATAATTATTTAACTTTCATCGATAACTATCTTATCTTTGTTTTTTTATTACAGAATGCATTTTACTATATATATAGTCGCCTTTGAAATAAATAAGAACAGATTACAGTGTTTGGGCTTGGGCTAGCAATCCTTTTAGACTTTGAAAAAGAAGACAGTTTAATGTGCAAAAGATATGCTTTTAGTAATAATCGTTTAAAATTTATAAATGAAATATAGTCTTTTATAAAAAAACTACAGACAAAAGTCAAACAATCATAATGAGTTGTACTTTGAATTTGGATTTATTCTTTCTTATTACGTATTTAACTTATCATCTCTATATATATTACAATGAAAGATATAAATATGATTTTATCCTACTAGATGGACCATAAAGTCTCTGTTATCAATTTAAATAGAACTTTATTATTAGAAAATGTAACTTCTTACTTCAAGAATAATTAACATCCATAAATTCGCGTCGGCTGTTTGGCACCAAGTCATAGCCTACACACCGGGTCATCTAAATAAAACCTTATCGATTTTAGCTCAGTTATCAATTTAAATAGAACTTTATTATTAGAAAATGCAACTTCTTACTCCAAGAATAGTTAACATCCTTAAATTCGCGTCGACTGTTTGGCACCAAGTCATAGCCTACACACCGGGTCATCTAAATAAAACTTTATCGATTTTACCTGAACAAACTTTCGATTTAAATCGAACTTTGTTATGGGAATAGATAGGTATCGTTTAATGGATAAGTTGCATCCTTGAATTTGAGTCGACTGTGTGCTTCCAAGTCATAGCCTGCGCACCAGATCGTCTAAATCCTTGTGGATTTAACTTTTGTGCCTGTCGAGCAATGTTGCTATTTGGTTTTTCTTGAGTGTGCTCTATGTAGTCCCACATACGTTTTTAAATTTCTTCTGTTGGTTTAGTTTGACTAATCTGAACCTACGAAACGATGTTAAATATTCGCGATGGACACCAGGCGAAAAGAAGAACTAAATTTTGGATTGGATTGCAGTGATAGTCTTATATATTTCACTCTCATAAAATTGGTTGGTAGTGAATAGGCAGACTTTTGAAGTGGTGGATATTTGTTTAGAGTTTAATATAATTTTAAGTTGAATAAAAACATTTATTATTCTGAAAGTAACGTCTTCTTCTGCTCTGCTTTAATTAGATATTATGCTTGCGAAGTATTTTATTGATTGCTATAATCCAAGTTTAGGGGTTCAAATCGAATGGAAGTAACTCCATATCCCTGCTCATTAATTTACATACAATGCATTTGGGCTACTTTAAACGCCAAAGCAACTATGGCAAAGTAGATATATTATCTAAAGATGATGCGAGATTTGATAGTCTTAATACGAAGACTGAAACTGAAGTGATTATTGCAAGTATTCGGATCTAACACGGCGCAGACGAAACAGTTTTTATTCCCGTTTTGAATCCAAAGCGATCGACAGTAAAGTATCAAGAGTATTTTTTTAACTGAAAACTAAAATGATTTAAGAGTATAATATGAAAAGGAAACTATTTTGATGGTACTAGAATAGATATTGAAAATAAAATACTATCTCTATTTGATCTCATAAATCAAATAAAGATAATAGATCTCTATTCAACACTCTATTCTATAATCACATAGATTATAGAAAATAAATACTAAAAATACCTTTTCATATATTCTTTTCATTATTTTTATAATTTCCTTTATAGTACCATTTTATATTCGTAATGACCCATATATTTTATTATAGCTTTTCATATTATTGCTCTCTTTTATAGCTAGCAATTATGATTATTGTTTGCTTCCACATATTACCAAAATGTTCCATATAGTATCAAAGGATGCAGAGTGCACTGTAGGTGATTTACTGTACCTGAGCAATAATTTTTTTTGGAAATTAATTATTTTAATTTGAAGGATATGAGAGTGTGTAGTAAATTTATTATGTGACAATCAGTGGAGGAAATTGCATGAGTGGCTATTCGGATAATTCAGCACGTTATATTTAAAATTTCACCCCACAACCGTTTTTAATAAACAACAATTTTTGTTTATAAAAAAATATTTCAATATCAGTTGAATTAATTGGTGAATATTAAAAAAATTTTGAAAGGGTGATATTATATTTTACAAGAAAGGTAAATGTACCTGTTTTTGACAACTCCATTTAAGGACAAATGTAATAAAGTATTCAGCTTTGTATCTACGTATATTCATAAGATGCACTTTGATTCCATTGAGATTATTTACTGAAACTTAAAAATACTAAATAAGCTATATTTTAAATTTAAGCGATATATTTAAATAATTTCAAATATATATTTAATAATAAATTAAAAATTAATTTAGTATTTATTATAGGTGTAGTAAAAAGAAATTCATTATTTTTACATGAAATTTAAGGCCTTTTTGCTAAAGTTGGAATGATCCGATTTAAGTCAAATACACGTCATTTTGATCGATAACTTGTTGCCATTTTGAAGGTAATTTCATTATGCTTCTCTAAAAGAACTTCTCGTCTCTATAAACAAAAAATTGTGACAGTCGATTTTCACAAGACTTTCTGGAACTGAATTTTTCACCAGAAAAAGCATCTATCGTTCGCCATGCACAGAAACAGATGGTAATCATTTTGTGTCAGGTCTAAACTGACGTGACGTGACGTTTTCCTAATGAACCACAATTCCTTTCCTATTGCCAAAAGCTGGACGTTTCTGGGCGATTGCTTTCTTTAGATGATCCAATGGTCCAGTTGTTAACAGTACAATTCCAAGTTAAGAGTTTTGCCGTAGAGGAGCAGCTCATAGTAGTTAATTCTCTGTCAATTCCACTAAACACACAACAAAACTTTCGTGGTCATCAATTCTGTCTTGGTTATCGTTTCAGCGGGCTCACCGCGATTCGAGTACCAAAGCTTTTGCTTGATCGTTATGTTGTCGGTAACTATCCACTTTTCATCTTCAATCATCAACCGTTACAGAAATGGATGGATTTGGTTGTGATTCAGCAGCGATTCTTAGATGAAAATTCAGTCTATGAGGTTTTTTTTGCGTTGGCTCGTGTGGCCACGGTTGCCACTTTTGATACTTTTTTTTCGTTTGGTACTCATGTTCAAAAAATGGTACATTTTTGACGACCCAACTTTATTGTGGATATTTCCAATTAATTTTTTTTATAAATGCAACTTTGCACTATTTTATATTTTGTTCATTTATAACACTATGAAAAATACAGAACGAAAAAACAAAAAGGTCCAAAAAAATTTTGGACCTTTTTTTACAGAAATGGTACCTTTTTAAACCAATTTTGGTACAGAAAAAAATTTTCAAGTGGCAACCGTGCGTGTGGCGCTCATACATCGATCTTCTTTTTGTATCCAGCCTAATTCAAATTGGAATCATTTGGAACCAACAGATTTTGTGTAATCTTCAGCTCTTTGGCAATCGAAACAGTGCTTATATGACAACAGCTGGGGGGACTCGACAAATTTCATGATTTTAACGGCATTTTCGACAATTGGCCTATCAGTGCGTGATGCATTTTTGATATCAAAATTATCGGAGCGTAATGAATGAAACCATTACTCATGATTGGCTGTTTCAGTATTAGGACACATTTTCAGTCGCATTTTGCATTTTTTCGCAATTATCAAAGAAACACTGTAAAATACGGTGTATTTTCTCTTTGCTATATCTTTCTCTTTGCTTATATCCATAAAGAAGTAAATAAAAATATTTAAACGTAAATTTATTAACTTCTTGACTATTGTGGTAGAAAAAAACTATTCTTATCTTCCTTTACTTTCTTTAATATATCAAAAGGTTATAGAAATGGAAATGTTCACTATGGAAATGTTTGTTAAAAGTAATCCAATATAGGAACTTTATGTTAAAACAGATTTTAGATTGTCTCATTTTATAAAACAATCCATGTTACACATTTTCCCCATAATAATAATAATGTTATACCCTTGACAGACGGGAGCTAAATTATCATTAAGAGGCTAAATGATAATTTATTTGCTCATTTAGCAGTTTTAAATGGTCTTTAAATGACTGATTTTAATAGCCATTTAGGTGGTTAGAAATGGTAATGCTGCATATGCAAGTGAAACGAAATAAAAAATGGAACAAATTTCAAGCTGTCATATGGTTGTCAAAGTGTAAACAAAACATATTTGGAAACGTTAATAAATGTAAGTACTCGTTATATTTGAATATATTTTATATATTTTATATTTATTTTGATTTTAGATGACTGAAATGAATAAACTGAAGCGCCGCGCATGGACGGAAGAGGAAGAAATTGTCCTCTTACAACTGTGGGAGGAAAATGTAAATGATTTTCGGAAATGCAAGCGCAATGCGCATATATACCAAAAAATTGCAAATGAACTTGGTGGAAAATTTACTGGACAAGAAGTGCACACAAAAATAAATAATCTGCAGCAAAGATACAGGTATTCACCTCTCACATTTTTATTTTATTAGTTATTAACATGATTTTTTACAGAGCAGAGAAAAAGGAAATGGGTCCTTCCGGAGGCAGCCGACCAGAATGGAAGCACTTCGGAAGGATTCATAAAATGATAGGTTCAAATGCTGCAAATAATAATGTAGTGGAGGAGTCTTTACTTTTTGTAAGTATGTTAAACAATGCAATTTATTGCAAATTTAAATTAAATAAAACAGTGTATGATTGAAAGCATTTATTTAATTAATATTTTAATATTAATATTTATTTTTAATTTATTAAATTTTATTATAATAATATTTTTTTAGGACTCCTATGCTGAATGCCATCTACTTGAGAGCCCAGTAGAGAGTCAACTGTCAACAACATGGAACATTGACAGAATAGAGCTCCCTTCACAAGAAAGACCAGTAGCTTCTTCGGTTGATAGTGATGAAGCCTCTTGCTCTTCTGCAAGAAAAAGAAAGAAAAAAAATTACCAAATAGAGGGGATAGAGGTAATGAAGGAGCAAACTGAAGTGTTTAAACAAATACATACTGAAAGTATGTGTATGTTTAAGGAAGTAGTAAATGAATGTAAGCAAACTAACCAGGAACTTTTGCAACTTTTTCGAGAGCAAGGTCAAAGAGATGACCAGTTTTTACAAGTAATGACCAATTTAATGAATAAATAAAATTAATATAAGTGTTATTATTAGTCAAGTCAATTATTAGTCAATAACTGTGTATATATTGTAAATTTATAGTTATTAGTATTAGAATAAGAATTAGTATGTAATAAACACTGTATATAACTATTTATTAAATTTTTACTATTAGTTATTAGTATTAGAATAAGAATTAGTATGCAATAAACACTGTATATAACTATTTATTAAATGTTAATGTGTTACTTACGAAAACTTAATGCGATCGCATCTCTTATAACTTTCGCCTCCACATTATTTTCGCCAGCTCTTGTTGTGTATCTAGGTTGTGAAGGTGCTGTAGACGCTGCTGATTTTGCATCTCTTACCCATGTGTGCCTAACATCATCATTTTCTACTTTTGAAAAATTATGTAGCATACAACAGGCTTTTATGATGACGTTAACATTTTCTGGTGCTACTTCCAAACCTCTGCCTACTTTGCGAAACCGTGCTTTCAGCTGTCCAAACGCATTTTCAATTACACGACGACATTTAGAAAGTCGGTAATTGAAATCTTTTTCCTTATTTGGCTGATTTAGTTTATAAGGGAATGGTTTCATAATGTACCGAGATAAACGGAACGCCGAATCGCCAATAAGTAAGACGGGTACCTGAACGCCTCCTATTGCCTTTGATTGCCGAGAGAAGATATCACTGAATTCATGAAATTTTTTCAATGAACTTCTTTCAAAAATATATGAATCGTTGTTTCTTCCTGCCGACCCAATATTAATATAGGTAAATTTTGACCTGAAGAAATAAACAAAATAATAATAACGTTCGTTTACAATTATGAACTAAATTTGCAAAGTTACCTATGATCGCAACATGCGAGCAAAACCACGGAATACCAACCCTTGTAATTGTAATAGTCAACGGCTTCTTCCCTCCGCGGTTGAATCTCTATATGACAGCCATCTGTTTAATAAAAGATTAGTTGTACTATTAATGTTTTATTCATTTATCAATTAAGTACCAACTGCTCCAAAACATTGTGGGAAACCAAGATTGCAAAAGCCGTTTACAGTTTCTTTAATTTCTGCAATAGTAGGAGGGTATGACGAAATGTACTTATTGAATACTTGGCAAACTGCGTTGCAGAAATCTAATACAATTTCACCCACAGTACTTCTTCCAACACCAAATAAATTAGCAACAGTCCTATATTCAGCAGAAGAACCAAGTGCAAACAAACCGATAGCCACTCTTTTCTCTAGAGCAATGCAAGCTCGCATATTAGTGTCCGATTTAGCTATCGTTTGAACTTTTTCACAAATTTTTTTAAAAGATTCTCTGCTAAAACGGAAGTTTTCTTTAAATTTTGTATCATCCATTGCTGGCACATCTTGTTCCCAAAAATTATTGCTGCGATCCTAAAAGAAAATTATTCAATCATTTGCATTCGCCTGACCAATTTTTTATACTTACGAATTTCCACAATTGTCTTGTGCCAATTGCTGAAGCTATGGACAATGTTGTTCTTGCTATGAATTTAGTTTTCATAGTAAAAAGTTTATTTATAGCTTCCTGATTTTTTATTACTTTCAATAATAACATTTTTAATTTTAAATTAAACGAATGGCGTCTTTTTAACCAAATTAAAGCGAGTTTCTTTAATTTTTCTTGCTTATCCATTTTCAATTTAAAATTCTCTCGCTTTGTAAATAACAAAAAACATATGATACAGCAACTTCTTAATGATAATTTATACCGTCTGTCAGGGTATTTTTGAAATGATCATTTAAAGCTGCTTAATGATAATTTAGCGTGCTCGTCTGTCAGTGCTATTACTTTCGGTTATACTCGATTGTCATTTTCAAGCACCAAAGACAATCTCAGCACAACTTCGGAAATAACATTTTTTTTTATAAAATCATTTTAAGGAGTTTTAATTGCTACTAACACATAAAAGAGTTATTCAAACGTTCACTGAGTACTGCATTGTATTTCTAGAAATAGTTCAATAGATTATATTAAAATATATTGATTCACAAGACGTATAGAGTTCTACTTTTATACTATTGCGTGCGCAAAATTTGAAAAGTGCTTTTAAATAGCAGCAAATGGATTTCTTGTGATTTTTGTTGCTATACAGAACCACTGAAAATAAACTCATTTGTTTAACAATATTGAATTGAATTAAAGAACTTTTAAATATATTTTAATAAATATTTGTTTACAATTGGCGATCTTATTATCTAAAATTAATTTTTTATCAAATTGAGCAATAGCCCTTACTTCATGTAATTTACAAATTTCTTTTATCAAAGAATATTTAATATATATTATAAGACAATATTTATTTTAAACAATTCTAAATTTTGATTAATCTATTAAATCAGCTATCGAAATTTCTTTAATTTCATGATTAATAATTTCTTTAATATCTTTTAAATTTAATATTGCATTCTGGAGTTAAATTAATTGATTTCTGTATATTGGGGCTGTAAAAATTCGCAAAACACCTTGCAAATTATTCCTTTTCTGTGTCAGTTCAGTAACCGTTTTGACTATTTCTGAATCATTAAAATGTGTTCTAAACTTTAATATTATCTTTATGTATAATCTAATTCTTATCATAAAGTCGAATCTTATTTCCTAAATCTTCTTTTACTTTTTGTTTTTTATACCTCGGTCGTAATTTATTTCATTCTTGTCATTGCTTGTATATATTTTATCTATTATAGAGGTTTCGAAAAGTAGTGAACTACAAGAATAAAAAATTTTTCGTGTTATTTTAATTAAATGAAATTGAATATAACGAAATCTAACGAAAAAATAACTAAATATATTAATCGTCAGTATTCATCTGTACAGAAAGTTATAAATAACTTCAAGGAGACGGGTACTTACATTTCCAAATCTCGTACTGGTCGGCCTTCAATTCTGTCAAGTAGAGAAAGACTCAGCATCATCAACCAGATGAAAGTAAATCCAAGTGTAACAGAAGAAGAGAAAGTATTATACCTGAGTTGCAAGAAAGAATCCATACATATCCAGAAATAATAGAATAAAACAATTATGCTTTGTAAGAGAGCATATAAATAAACCTATAAAGTTCCGGAAAAGAGGTATTTTCTCCGATAAGAGTAAATTTTGAATATTTGGAATTAAAGGTAGAGAACTTGTGTGGAGAAAATAGTGTACAGCCTATGATAAACAAAACTTAATTCTAATGGTGAAACATGTTGGTAGAGATGTAATGGTTTGGGGGTGTATGGCAAGTAATAGTGACGGTAAACTTGAATTTATACAATATACAATGGACAAATATAAATATCTAAATATTCTAAAATCAAATTTGAAATAAAATTCAAAAATATAAGGGCTTGAGCCAACCTTTGTGTGTCAGCAGGACAACGATCCTATGCATACAGCAGGGATTGTATGAGATTGGCTGTTGTATCATGCTCCCAGATAACTCGAACACCAGCACAATCAATAGAACTTAATCTCATAGAACATCTATGGATTTATTTGGAAAATCAGATTCGCCAGTACACGATTTTCAGCTAGGATATGTTAAGAAACATCGTCAAGGGAGAATGGCACAAAAATAAACGCACAGAATACTACAAAGCTGGTTGAAACAATGCAAAGATGCTTAAAAGATATTAATAAACCTAGAAGATTTCTGTGACTTTGAATTGTTTTAATCTAAATATTAAGAATTGAACGCAAAATTTTTCTGCTTCAAAAATTATTGCTTTTGTATATAATTGTGTTTAATTTTTTTTTTTAAAGAATAATTATTAATTTTTTAAGTGTAAACTTCATTGTTGTTTTTTTGGTTAAAATAAATCAGAAAATAAAAATCAGTTTCAGAAAAAATAAATAAGTTATGCAAAATTCAAGATAAATTTTGTAGATGGGCGCAGATTTTTTCTACTATGTATGTATATAGACATCAGTATGCAATTTGACCACATTCCATTAAAAAAAAACGAAATATTGAGATACCCCATAGAGATATCAGTTTTATGTTAAATTTACTCATAGGTCAATGCTGATTAGGAAATCATGCTAGAAAACTAAATCTCCTTTTCAATTATATTCGCCTCAGTTGTGTGAAAGATGATAAATGTGCTTCTCATCTGTTTTATATTTGTCCAGCACATGCACAGCACTACTACTCAAGGGGCCTCCTTTTTGAGGATCTTGGTCAACTGCAAGATCTTTCATTAAATAGCATTTTAAGACTTAAGGTGATTTTAAACCTTTGAGTTTCTTCCTTATAACGTAACACAATGAGCCAATAGGAATAAGTGAATTCCTTTGAATCGCCTGTACAGTCTTACATAAACAGATACAGATTTTTAATCTGGTGCAGTATATGTTTATATTCATATAAGAGAATGAAAATTCAAATCATTGCAGAATTAGATGTAGCCAAATCAAACATATATATTTTTGTTAGAAAAATTTTTTTATTTTCGGAACTTAAATATTTGGAACTTAAATATAATGTATAGAATAAAACCTATGTTGTTAGAATGGGTTTAATCAGTTCAGATTTACATATAGCTTGTATTTATAGTAATTTTTTAAAATATTAAACTTTTGGAAATAATTACTTTAAAGACCTGAAAATTTTATTCATGTCATGCTGAAATATTTTAAATTCTCTATATTTTACTCTCTCTTGATGAAGTCATTATAGATGGTAATATAATAATAATATTATATTAAAATGCTTGCACTTATAATATCTAATTTTAATTGTAAGAAACCAATACACTAACAGATACTACAACTTCCCATTGTATGAATAAAATCCAAGCAAAACCTTATCGAAAAGTTTGGGATATTTAAAACAATTGCCAAATGATTGTAACCAAAGCCATAGATGATCTATTGCCATAACTTCTTGTTGTAGATATTTTAATTAAGAATTTTAAGTGCAAAAATGGAAAATTTATGTTTAAAATAAAGTTATGAACTTACAATTTAGTTGTGTTAAATCCTTTTAAAACATTTGAAAATTTCTAATTATACGCAAACAAAAAACAATAGCTATATTCTTAAGCTTTTGAATAGGACACAAAAAAAAGCAAAACCAAAGAATGCTAAAGTGA